CAGAAAAATTTCATGCAGGAAAGTATTTCTGCCCTTAGAAATAAATCCCCAAACATATGGTGTTTTTGCAATGCATCATGGTGGTCTAACCTCTTGAGCAATCCTGGTATACAAGTGACCTGACCTAACCTAACCCATTCCTTAAACCTAACTGATTCCTATTTCAATTTCAACCTAGATCTAATCCAAACGCTGCCTAAGGAATACGAAATTACTTAATCCGCGATTCACCCGTTCGCTTAGTCATCGGTTAATTAATTCCGTTTAGTTGGAAACGCGCGCGAACAGCTTGGACGAGCAATTATCGCCCGGCGACGATAAAAAAATTACCACGAGACGCGAGTGAAAGGATCGGAACGGTGTCAGCGGCGTTGGATCGATTGCGTTGCATTAATTGACCATGAAAATGGAATGTCACGGCTCGTAGATTTTCCAGATTAGGCATTGCCGTGACTGCCGCTCGTTTCTATCCACGAACGCGTCGCCATATTTTCCCTAGTCGTGTCTGGTCATCGATGCGTTCACCATGCGTGACGCTGCTTGCGTTGCTGAAGTGGAAAATATAATATAATGGCAAACACCTATCATTAAATTTCCTCGACTTAGTCCAGGAATTTTTCGCTCGATAAAGAAGCCTATTTATTTTGTTCCTCTACTTATTCCCCATACCATCACTTTTCTCTTCACAAATTCCTTCGAATAACCTTATATTATATTTTCTATAGCTTCTCATGATCATAGTTTTCCCGTTCTTTGTTTATAAATTTCTATACCTCTTAATGACGCATGTAGTAATATTGAGGTTAGGTTTCCTAACAACATTTTAGTATTCTAGTTATATTTTATCTTTGTGTATACGCTTTTATATTCGTGTAATAAAGACTTTTCTTTTTAATTAAATTGGGCAGATTACAATGTTTCCTAATGGCGCGCGATTTCATGAACGAAGCGTAAAATGAACCGCATGGAATATTCAGCGTCCCCAAAGATAATCGAAGGAGGTTAAGCATGCGACAAATGCGCTACCGAGCGTTCAAACATTTATGAATTAATATTACGGTCACGCAAACCTTAACGCAAGGTGTACGTCAAAATTATTCCACGAATAAACGGACTCTTATAAATGTTTTTTAATCTTAAGATATAATAATTAACCTCAAAATTTATAGAATTTTCAAAAATAGGATCTTTAAGTTACTTAACAAAAATTCGAATTGTTTTTTATTTGTTTTGAACGTCTCGAACTTTTATACGAAGTCTCCGTCGTTGGTCCAGGAAAAAGAGAGGAAGCCATTACTATTAACGTCGATTACCGTGATCATCGTTTCGAAAAAATGACAAAATTAATGGGGAACACCCAAGCGAACCAATCGACGAACTGCAGATTTCACGATTACGCTTAACAGATACAACGTGTTGCCACGGTAAAAGATCATAATTATTACCCGCGCGTGACAGTCATTTTGCCCCTCTTTTCAACAAAAAGAGGCCAAATATTGCGCGTGATTTGCTAAACGAAACTTCGTTTATTCATTCGCCGGCATTATAGCCGCGAGACGTATAATATAAGTATATTATGAACAAGTATAACGAGCAAGGAAATTTATAACGAGGTGCAACGAACGTGTTGCCAAACCTAACCTAAAAATTAACGGCCATTTAACGATTCCGGCGGAAGTAGCCTCAAAACCGGGCCCACGAACGAGTCTCTCGCGCATGCATGAATTATTTATGCTCACGGTGAACCGCTTGTTTACAGCGTCGCGATATTTCGCGACTGAAAGGAAAAACGAACTGCAGAACGTCTTGTTTCCGATAAAAAAAAGAAAAGTGAAAAGCGTGGGCTTACACGGCGCTCGAACGATTCTAATTATACAATCATGCAATTTGTACGTTCACGTGCGATTAAGTCGTTAGCCTTTATGGCGGACGCGACTGAAAAATTCAAAGAGTTGCCTTGAGGGGATGTGGTAGATTTTTAACTGCCGGACTTTGTTTATTTAGCGGTCGCGACGGGCCCAAGCGGCCTTGTCTCTGGCGCGACAACGATTATTACGGTAATTATGCCCAGGATTGATCACGTGATTAACGGTGATTACTAGTACCGACACCAGGTGGTGCACTCTTACTCTATTTATTCGTTCGACAACGAATACGGCGTAGAACAACTTTAACATGCACTTTTGGTCGATTTATTTCATTGCCGAAGATTACTATGTTCATTCACAGCGATTCGAATTTCTAATTTCAATAAATCTTGTACGGGATGTTCGTTTCCCTTTTATCAGAGGTTAGGAATCACTCACTTACCTCGAGAACTCGACGAAAACGACGGATATCACCTCGCAACGTCTCGTTTAGGAAGCTCGCGGTCTCAAACTGTTTAAACGATCGCGCGTTATTAAGGATTTCGCGTCGTTTGTTCGCGTCGATGAAGCGGTGTAGAAAAAAGACAGTTGAATATTTTTAAATTAATATATATATATAATTCTTAGTCACGTGGATCTCGGAGGGCGTTTCTGGGAGGTAGGGGTGGAGGAGTGGGAGGCTGGGTGGGTGTACAATATACAATACAAGCCACGGAATATCACGGATTCTCGTGTTAGTTTAGAACGTTTCGATTTTCGCCGCGTTTACATTTTTTTTCATTTTATTTTATTGCTTTCCTCTCGACAACGTGTTCTCCTCTTCGAGCGCAGGACCGTACGCAACGCGCTTCGAAAATTAATCGCAACGAGTCGGTAAGGGGGGGGGGGCGGGGGGCATGAACGATGAAAACTGAACGTTCGAGGATTGAGCAAAATTCTTGGTACGTGGAGGAAAAAATCGCGTTTGCTTTTATTCGCTGTGATTGGTTACGGCCCCGTTGCTCGACGATACGGCCCTGGGCTGCGCGCCGAGAGCTGCGCGTCGCAGTCGCGTTGCTTTTCGAGCCTCGACTCGCTTGGAAACGCGCACGTTCTGCCGTTGTATTTTACATGATCGCTCGGCGTTTCCCCTTTGTTTTTTTTGTGTATTTGGACCTTTCTCGAGTCTCGAGCCAAAAAGAGGCGACGTTCTTTCTTACAAAATTTTCCGCGCGGCGTCGTTTTCGCTCGAATCGATGGAGGTGGACTCGTCTCGCCGAGAACCACCGCGGTTTTGCCCCGTTCGGACGCTCGCTTCGAACGATCGCTGCACCCGCGATTTTGTGTTTCTATGACATGGTCGCGGCATGAATTCAAGCATCGACAGCAACAGCTGAATTGAGATGGGCTAATATTTCTTTCGAAAGGAGAGAGCAACGGGTCGAGTCTGACAAATTTAACGCTTTTAACCCTTCGACTTTGATTTTATTTCACTCCATGGTCAATGGTATAATATTTCAAGTGCGACTCGAGTTCGCAGGATGGTCGCGGAAATCAAACGTAAATGGAATAGAGAATGAGGAGAACGAAAAATAAAACAAATAATACCGTGAAATGTTTAACAGACATCGTATTTATTTAAAATTTTAAATAGGAAAAAATATTTAAAAAAATCATTATACTGACAGTTTGTAACTGGCAAAGTAGCATTAATTAATAAAAAAAAAAAAAAAGGTAGGAACAGATATAGTTATATATATTCACATTTTTATACAATAAAAGTGACAGTGCCGAGGGTATCACGGATTAGTCTACGAATGAAATAAAAAAAAAAATCCTTTTTTTTTATGAATAATCGTGACGACACTTTGGAGAACCATCAAGGTATTACAATTTCGTAGTTTGTACAATTAGAATGATAACATTGCATAGAAAATATTACAAAACACGGTGTTCCAACATTTACATAGGAGAAGTATAAAAAAATTCATTATTAACGACAGTTTACAACTGAAAGTAAATGATATTACTAACTAAAATGGAACTGAACAGATGTAGTTACAATTTGTACATAGTAAGAACGATGAACTTGCATAGCGGGTTTTACGATTCGTCTCATTGCAACATTTCAATCATAAAAATAAAATATTAAGAACGGAATCCATTAGAACGAACATCTGTGGCCAGACAAATCGGCATCAATTAGCAGAAAGTAAAATAGCTGAGTACCAGCCCTCAAGTATGGCCAGAATTTTAAGCACAGCTGAGAATAAGCTCTACGAACGCAAGTTGCACTCCAACCCTATTCACAAGCATCACGCGTGCTGACCATCAATTAAACTAACTTTTTTTTTTTCTTGAAAACTACGGTTTCGCTACTTGCATCAAAATTATCTCCAGAATTTTAAATTATCAACGTTCAAAGGGTTAATCACGAGAACACATGGGACTGATGGGTCAGCCGGAACGCAGGGGTGAGCACCCACGACTTTCGAGAACGACAGAGTATCGAATCTGCGTTTCCTCCGAATATTTGTGGCCTCCGTGTTCCCAAAAGGCCGACTGCTCGACGTCCCACCGCGTTTCCCGCAATTATCTACATCGATCGCTAACTTTTATACAAATACGGTACTGTGTGGCGCGGGGTTGGTATGTAAGGTGTTGATTTTTCGAAGCGACAACGTCGAGAGTGTGTAGATGAACGCCACCAGAGAGATCGTTCGAGATATCGATCCGATTCGATCCGAGAGGGCCCGAGAAACGACGTTCGCGAAGGTAGCGCCACCTATGGAGGCTCAGAACCGGAGAACGACGCTCGACTCCCTGTTTTGTTAACCTATAAAACGCGCGTCGATGCAATTTAGAAACCGAAAGGTGGGTCGATGGACCGAATCGGATTGAGTTTGTCGTCTGTTGCATTATTTCATCGTTTCTTCGTCTGTTTCCCGTTTCGCTTTCGAGGGCGTCGTGGCGTGATTGGGCAACGTGCGTTTATGCGGTGTTTACGTCTCTCTAATAATTAATATAATATTATATTCAATAATTAATACAGAGAGTAGTTATTTATATATATAATATATATATATATAATATAATATAATATAATATCACTAGGGTACATATGTACAGGGGCTGCAAATAGTTAGGAGGTGCTCTTGTATTGCAATGTCTCCCTCTCTTACACCTAAAAACGCACGCGGGCAGAACGCAGTCGCTAGTCGTCACTAGTGACGGACACTTCACTCCCTCCTTCGCAAACTCCTCGCGAATCCGTGCAACAGTTCGAACCACTTCGAGCGTTACCCGACATTTCGACGTCAATTATCCGAACGAAATTGGACAAGTCCGATCTTGGGGGCCTCGAAGCACCAGAATCTTTTACTATGGAAACATAGACGAAGGTAACGAAGGAACTGAAAAGGTAGCGAAATGTTACAAAACATTCGAGACTCCCAAGACTATCGAGACACCCAGCAGTTTTCGATGCCAGGCAACAGGAGATCTTCAACGTCGAGCGACACTCGAACCTATTCGAACAGGCGACTCTTGTGCCCGTCGTTGCTCGTTCCGCCCTTCCGTGCCCTGGATCAATGTACACCACCAACTCTCGCAATCCATGCAGCGTCCGTGGACCCCGGGCCCCGCGCGATCCACCCCCGGCCATTCTATATACACTCACAGGGAACTAGGCCCAGCGTCGAGTCCCAGAAACCGATGGAGAACACGTCCCCGGTCCGCGGGGTAAAATTGCACTTCGTAGTCTCGAGCGTCCCTCGTCCAGGTCGCCGCCTATCCTCCAGAGGGACGCAGAGGGGCCCGGGCGCCGTGAAGCGTCCCAGAATGGGGCACAGAGGGTCCCGGGTCGAACCGACGACCCTCTCCCCTGCTACGACAGCTCGGAGGTCGAGTCCGGCTCCCTCTCGTCGCCGTAGAGTTCTTCGGGGTCACAGGATTCAGCCAACTGCTTGTCTTCTGGGTCGCCGTTCGTGCTGGTCACGGGTTCGTTCTCCTGTCACGGACTCCCCCCTCCAGCGTCCGCGTCGCCCCTGTGCCCGGGCGTCAAACTGGGGCTGCGTCTCCTCTTCTCCTGGAGCCCGTTCACCATGTTCTCGATGGACTTGAGCTCACCCGCGGAGCTGCTGCTGGACGTCAGGCCCGCCGCGGGCGTCGGGGAACCGGTCGGGGGCCTGGGCGGCGGGGACCTGGGACTCAGAGTCCTGCTACCAGGGGTAACGGTCTCGAACGCGGAGCCGTGAGAGGGTGCCGGCAGGGTGTACGGCGCGTATCGGTGCCCCTTCAGCTGGTGCAACGGGCTGGCCAGCGGATGATGGTAGTGCGCGAACAGAGCTGGGTGCTGAGACGCGGCCAGAGCTAGTTGCGCGTTGAACAACATGCCTGGCGATACTCCACCGTGGATACCCAGATGACTGGAGGGTATCAGAGGACCTGGACCGGGGTAGAGACCGGGTACAGGTGGATAGAGGTATGGTAGCAGAGGCGGATGAAGCGGCAGGCCCACCGACACTTCAGGTCTAGGCCCTTCTGAGGCTGTCGGGCCCGGCCCGCCTCCGCTCTCTGAGCCAGAAGACTCGCTGCCCTCTCCTCTCTCGCTGGTCCTGTCGTCCCTCTCCCGAGAATGCTCGCGTTCGCGCTGATGATGTCCGGGATGAGGCGTGTCCGGGCCCACGACGTCCAGAAGCTTGTCCTCGTCGTCGAGGAGGTCGTTGACGGAGTTCGAGGACCGCCGCTTCTCCGGGGATGCTGGCCCACCTGCCGTCAGCCGGGAACCGCCTCCTGATACTGTCAATACCGCCTGCCTTCTGCAACAACGACTCCGAGTTAGCAATCTTTTAGGGAAAATCGATTCAACTATCGTTCAGTTGGGCCCAGATATCTAAATGCAGGAGTATTTCTGATCAAACGGCAATAAATTATTAATGGTAGAACAGATGTATGCTTGAGAACCAAAAAAATTGGGTTTGTGGGAGGATTATTTATTGCAACGAGTCTACAGTAACTAGTCAAAAGAACAAGAGCACTCAGAGATCCCGTAGGTAATAGGATTTCAACAATAATTTATCTAACCCGGGGTCAACGGCGGCAAATTTAAATACGCCCGATCGTTTCTTCCATTTCAATTCGCATTGCTCCGCTCCACTTTTGCTCGAATTATTTCCTGGTGTAGCTTTCCCAAGAAGGAGAATAGAGATAAGCACAAATATAAGGAATCGAAAAAATTACGGCCGCGCGGATAAAGCGTACGGGAACTCGTCCGCGCGCGAACGGCCGCGTTAATGCTTGCAAATATCTGCATTTGATGTCGGGCGAAATTCACAGTCGCAATAAAAGTTTACGACGCCACGGTAGCGTTAAATATTTTCAACGCGAAATGGTCCGTTATCGTTTACGCTTCGCCTCCTCTTTGAAAGACCGCGGCGATGCGCAATAACGCTTACGCTTGTTTCCTCGACCGCGGACGTTCCCTCCTGGAATTCTGCAACTCTTGCAGTTTCGGAATTTTTCTTTTTTTCAACTTTCGACAGTAGCTCAAACCGTTCCCTACATCATCCTCAGAGTCTGATAATTATCCGTGGTCCCGTGAAACGTACCCCTCGATCGAACCCCTGGCAAATTACAGACGTTTCCAGCGTCGTGTTTGATTGCTAGGTGAAAGTGTCAACCGTTGTTTGTTGGGCGAATCGTGTGTATTGCCCGCCTTTCTCGCAACGTGTCATTAAATCGATTACATTGAAGTGGCTGTGTCAAGGGTCAGAGTCGAAAGGAAAGTATTTAGTTCTAGGCGGCTTGAAAAATCATCTCAAACCAGTTTTAATTCATAGCCTCTGTTGAGTGTTTCCCGAAGATCCAAATCAAGGGACACGATCACATTCGGGAGTCGAACATTACAACGCGTCAACTTTCACACCACTTGGAAATTTCACAGACTGGGCACCTGTTCTACGAGATCCACCACACGGACGACGACTTTGACGGTTAGGCTCTGCGTTCGAAGACCTACACGGAATCTCGTCAACGAATTCGTCCGCGAAACTCATTATTCGCGAATGGAGCGCGTTCCACCGTGAGGGAAAGGGTTTAAGGGAGCGATAGAACGATGCGATTCGGTGTATTTCAACGGCCGCGGCGAGCAAACCTAAGTATCATGTAAGACTCTGCTAGAACCATTCGAGAGCCGGACGTAACGAGAGGCTTACCGATACCTTAATGCCGTGTAATGCGATCAATGCACCGACGCAGGGAAGGCAAAACGACGACAAAAGTGAAAGAGACACAGCGCGAGAGTGACGGGGATGGCGGAGAGAGAAAGAGAGAGAGAGATTGAACGTACATCGTCGGTGTACGGATGAAACCGTGAGGCTCGGAAGGGTGTTACGCTACGGTTCTCCGGTTTCTGACGCGCTTAAGTGCGAGAGCACGTTAAAATCAATAGTTTCCGTGGACGACACCGGGATTTGGTAAGTGTGGCTCCTTCTCCTCTTGCTGATGATCCGATGGTCGCGAATTTTTGTAACGAGGCTTCTGATTATGATTTACCAGAGACTCGGATGACACGGTACGTCGTAAATGTAGGTAACATCCGAGATTGCACGAGTTTTAGTTAGATTGTTTGCGGATTGTTAGCAATTGTTCGATGTTAGAGGGACTTGGGTGACACGGGATATGGTAGGGGTACAGTAGGAGTTCATCACTTTCGAGATATGGCAATTTTCTGGTTAAGTAGTTTGTGACGGACAGGCCAGACAAAGTAGTTACATCCGAGATTGAGAGAATCTGACTTACAGGTATGCAAAGATGATAAGTAAGAGATTCAATATTCCCCAAATCCTATTGTCCGTGAAATACACGCTTCTTTGATCGATTCGACTGTTTGTATTTGCAGGTCGTGTGACGTAATTGGATTCACTAGACGTGCTTCCGTCGCGCGCGCAGCTGTTCCAGTTCCGTACGGCTCGAAAGTACTAGCACCGTGAACGGGATCTGAAAAATCTTGTCGTCGTTAGATTTTATGGTAGCAAAAACGATCCCCTCTATTATAGCAGTTTAAAATCGGTAGATCGAGTATTATATCGGCTGGCACCTATCTTGGAATGATTTAAACCCGCGGTCTCCAAATAGCCCTGTAAAAGTACCGGGGCTCATTCAGGATTCAATTTCTGATATTCGGTTAATGCTGTAGAGCTGTCTATAAAACCGAGCCCCAATTATTTCTAATCCCATAAAAGCCCATTTTGCAACGCGTTAACCCAAAAGTGGAACGCCTTTTTCTCGCGTAATTTCTCCCGATAATCGCCTCGACCGGGTATATCGATCTCAATTCGAACGCAGTCCACCCGTCTCTGCCTATTTTGGCAAAACCGTGGTCGGCTCGACTTTCCACGTTGAATTATGCATATCCCGCGGAAATCCATCGTGGCCGGCGTAATTGAGCTATTTCAAAAGTTGCCGCTGAATTATCGGCCGGGTCCGTTCGATCGGTCGCGCCGCCGCAGGAATCCCTTTGATCGGCGATCGACCACGTGCTCGCCTTTGTTTCCTGCATCGACCGCCCCGCGTCCCGCGTCACGCCGCCAGTTTCTACACTTTTCCTAGGGAATGCGGCTCGCGTTTCTTCGCGCTCGCGGCTTTCACTCGCGCGTTTTGCGCCGCGTGGGTTCTTGTCGGTAACCAGACCAATCATAACTCCATCACCTGTTATTATGTCTACGAATACATTTCCACCTTTGTCGATAAATTTTCAGGGAATTTTTAGTCCCTAGGAACTAGGAATTAGGTGATTCCCTTTGGAGTGCTTTCGATCGTTGAATCCTGATAGAGCTAAGCAATTAGTTTCATGCAAAGGGGAGAATACCCCTTTCCAATAGTTTTTGAAATATACTCTTAGAAAATTTTATTGGAGCAACCGATAGAGTTTCACACAAAAATAACTTTGATGCTAGGAGGGGAATACCTTTTTCCCCTAGTTTTGAAGACACACACATAGAAACTTTACAATAGCTCTGATACAAGGGAGAATACCCGCTTTCGTCTAGTAAAAGAAGGATCAGCCTTGGAAGAAATCGCAAGTCGTTATGGGTCAGATGTTTTGGTCACCACCAACCTTCGGATAATAAAATTCCCTATAAATTGAAACGATTGCCGCGTGAACGATCGGTTAAGACAGTTGGCGAATCGTCAGCCTCGAAGATTTCGTAGGGAATCATTCTGCGCTCGACACTCGACGGTGCGCATTCAGGGATGACTAGGGGATGGAAACAAAAAAACCCCGTCCGGGGTTCGTTGCGCTGTCACGATGCCCCCCGGGGGAAAGTGGGGTTCAAGGGGTGATTATAAATCCTCGAGGATGACGCAGGGGTGGGATGACACCGATAGTCGAGCGTCAAAGGCAGCGGATGAATTTTCATTCTGTCTGAACGGTCGACTATCGATGAAACGACAGCTAAAACTCGATGAGCAACCTAGGCGTCCCATAATTATGGCGAAATTATACGGAACCTTTGACTCTACTTCCACCTTTTTTCTGCAACGCGCACGAGCACCCTCGTAGGACAATTTAAGGAGAATTTGAAGGGGGCTGGGAGGGAGATGTGGGGTCAGCACCCCAATTGCTAGGATTCTTCATGCTTGCTCATCTTTGGTGGCCAACGGGGCCACCGATCGAGGGTTGCTTCTAAATACTTTTGTATTTATGCAAGACGCATTACTTCTTAATTAAATAAACAGTTAAATTGAATAGGTACTTTCTGCACAATAATGTTTAACCTGATCCCATAGCGATGGAGTTATAAGTAAAATGTTTGAGAACCGCTGTTATTTGCATGTATAATAACAGAAATCGAAGGTACTGAAAATATCGAAATTATAAATATTCCCTGAATATACAATGCGTGATACCGCAACGTTTCCTTTATATTTGGATGCATTTTATGGGTTCTCCGTATATTTGTACGCATATAGAAATTTATTAATAATATTGTATAAATACCAGCAAATGGAGAGGCGTGACAATTAATAACGTAGCCAGAGGAAATCGTCCCGCAGACAGATTGATTCTTCGCGTATTTCGATACGATCGTTCCGGCGTGCTCGGTGATAAATGACGTGACAACGAGCCGTGCCCGGCCAAGCACTGGCTTTCCTCTTTTTTCTCGAAAATATTTCTTTTTAACCGGCATGATGAATCGACTCACCACACTTGAGTGGCGTTGCGTCTCGTGACCGAGCGGCTCGACCCGCTTTGTTAAAAAGTTGACGAAATAATGCGCCGTCCGGCAACCTAATACTGGACACACATTTACCAAATTATCCTACTTTTTCGTTTTTCTGTATTTACAGCAAAACATGTAGAAGGTTTTGCTTATAAACTTGATTGGTCGTTCGTCCGCATTCCTATTTATTTTACTATCGCGAAAGAGATCGTATCCGTAGCCACCTAGTGGCGAGCAACTAAAACACTTTTCAAGCCAGAACCTCTATACAACAACTACTAAAATGAAAAGTACTCGTAATTGACGATTAGAACGATTCACGAGTCTAGAAACAAAATACCGACTAAAAAAGTAGAGATTTCAAAAATACAATTTTTTAACGACGTAAAAGAAAAACGCGGTAACTTTATTAACCGTTCACAGCTATAATAAAAAAAACGACGAGGCCTCAGACGCCGGAAGTCGACCTCCCCACCACAAAAGCGCCCTTTATATGCCGGTTACTGGCTGTAGCGGCGATATAAAATTCAAAGCCGCCAAGTGGCACCCTCCACGCTAACGACAGCGCCGCCCCTGAGCATCAGTATGCTAATCCGATGATTGGCTATGTTCCAACCCCGCTACCTCTCTCTGCCCCCTTCTCGCGGCACCATCTCCCGTTCCTCTGCGGCTTCCTGATGGGATCCGGCCACCCTTAACCGAAACCATAAGCCAAAACTAACCCTTATTCTAATTAGGCGGCGCCACGACGCGCCCCCTACTTTGCATATTTTCTCGATTAACCTCGCCCTTTCTTTATCCGGCCGAACCCGGGCGTCGCTTCAATTTCCGCGAAATTTTCTCGGACGCTGCTTTTTCCACCCCCGACCAGCAGCATTTATCTAAGATGTCCCAACAACTTCTGAACGTTTATGGTTTGGAAAAATACCAGGCGTTCTCTACTTTCCTTCTTCTAGAAATCTGGGGAAATAACCTAATTGTGGGCTACGAACGTAACCTCGAATCTCTGACACAAGTGCTACCAACATACTCCCATGGCCAGTAGAATCTAATCTGTATTTCTAACACCAATAAATACAGATAATTGTAGACGCATCAGTACTAGTATACAATCTAAAACAAAACTTGAAACAATGACAACTGGTCCCAAACAGCGAATCGCTGGAGCATAGTCTAAAGTCACCTAGCGAATCCAACCGAGACAATCGAAAGGCGTCATAAACAAATTCACCCTGCGTGGCAATTTCTCCCCAGCTAGTTCGCCCGAGCAGATGTCTTCGCGAACCCCCGGTCACCGCACCTGAAAGATTCGCTAATGCCATTCGCGAGTAGACAAATTGGCGAAGCTTACACGGCTTTGGGCCGCCGGTGAGTGCGTATAACGAGGATTAGCAACGTTAACGAGGGCGGCACGAGACCTATGCATAGTAACTTAACCTCGTCAGAATCCACTCGAGCCGGCGTCCTACCCGCCTCTCCCCCCTCGCGGACGCGACCAATGAAATTGAAATGGGTCTCTCGATGCGGCGACGAACCCTCGCTGACATAAGCCCATAAACCCGCGATATTGAATACAAATGGACGATACCGGCGGCCGGCCGGGGTGCAAATGAGCCCCGTGAAACCAACCCCTGGCCCCGGGGGCTGACCCTGAGGTCGATACGTCGACCTTAATGGCGCGGATCGAGGGGAGAGCCCCCAAAATGCTCCGCGATCAATTAGGTCGACCTCGAAGACATGCCTGTGAATTGGTTTCTGTTCCATGGGGTTCGTTCGGGAAAAGGGTTTACTTGGCTTTCGGGATTTTGCGAACGAGCGAAGATTTGTTCTCAAAGTCTCGCTCTAACCTCTCTATTTGACTGCAAGAAAAAAGGCTGTACCGTAGGTTCTTGATTTAAAGAAAATTTGAAATAGTACTCCGAGCGCTATTGTTCTTCTGACAAAAGAATTTTCAAGCTCAAAACTAGCCACAGAAAAAAGGAATAAGCTTCGGAACTTATCATTAAGTCACGTGACTGGCATGCGACTGTCACGTGACCCTCGTAAGGCAGTCACGTGACTATCGTTTTCAGCACAGGCTACGCGTCCTTTTTTTCATGGCGAATCTTTTTAAATATTTTCGTACTCGATCAAAGTTTTGAAAGCGATACTCACTTTTTCTCTCGCTTCCCCGCTCCCGTATCCCGGAATCCTTTCGCGAACGGGTTGTTATCGATTTTCAGCTGGGTGATCTACAACAGAACAAAATCGCAATAGGCACAATTAATTCTTTCATTCGTTCCATCCCTGCTCTATCGAAACGAGTATATTAAACGGAGTTGTTTGTCGCGAAACGATCGGTCCAAGTTACGACAAATCGACTTTACCATGGATTTCACGAAACGCAGAAGGCGTTCGCCGCTCAAAGGGATCCACAGAAACGATATCCTTCTTCCGGCCGTAGATACCGAGAAGGAACGGCGATAACGAAGGGTTGGTGGGGAAAAGAATCGCACGACGAAAAATTCAGACAAGGGGCCCCTTTTGCGCGCGTTCAACATCAAAAATAATGCGTACCGGGAACCACGGTGGTTCCCCGAACCCTTTCGGTTCCATCGACGAGGGGGGATTTTAATTAACACGACCGACAAAAAAGAAAACCGTCTGTTTGTCCTGGTTTCTTGCCAAACATGGCTCTCCTCCAAATTTTACAAATCGTTCGTTGGCTACCAAACGTCGAGGAAATAAAATAATTTCTAATAGTTGACCACTGTTCGCTATCTTCGGCCGCTCGTGTAATTATTAATCGAGCTTTCATAGCATTCATCTTTTATTCGATATTATAATTTCGTAAATGAATAATTGACCCTGGTATCCCTGATAACTGCAATGTTTCCTTTAATTGATTTATTTAATCTGTTACGATGGCGCGTCCCGGCTAAACCTCGATAGTTCGTGTTGTGGTGGTAACGGTTCGATAATAGCCTCTCAATGAAAGAACAGATAATCTTGTTACTATACGTTAATTAATGAAAGTATTCTAGTGATTATTCAACGTATAATAACATTATTTAACATTCAACGGTTAACGCGTAGTAATCGTCGATGCAGTAATGAAAAACACCTCGGGAAACTCGTATCTCTGTACCAACGCTCCACGAGAGAGACAGAAGAATGTCCCTAACGGTCCGAAATGTCCCCAGAAAACAATTCCTATCCAGAAACTTTTCCGCCGTTCGGAGAAGAGTGTAAAAGTGAAACGATGGGTTCGAATGCGTCTATTCAAATAAATCCATTGGGCCGAACAAAGGCCAAACAAAAAGTTCGTCGTAACAGACCGGAGTCTAATATTCCCGGAATCCCGCGGGACTAACGAGTTCCATTAATGTCCCCCGAACATGTCGATCGTCCGAACCGAGAATAGGAAGCAGACGTTCACTCACCTTCTCGTTCTGATAGGCGGTCACCGCGATGAATTCCGTTTCCTTGAAAACGTAACTCCTGAACGTCGAGTAGGCGAGCTGCGAGATGTGATTGGCCCTCGCCAGGTGAAACCTCGGTTGGTACTTGTGCATTGAGTTCAATATCGTCTGAAAAAATCAGGCGAGCATATATTGGGACAGACTGTTTCACGGGCGGAGCTCGTGCTCGCAATGTCTCCTCTATTTTTTTAGTGTCTTTTCGGGAAATCGACCGGGCTGCTTTGTCGTGATTTGGTGACTTTCGCGGTGCACCGAGCGGCCATGTTGGCAGCGCCGTGTTCGTAAAACTCGATTGACTTTCGCGAGTGTGACCTCGAAATTTAACTGGGCGAATATTATAATTAGATAATATCGCATGACTATAGAAAGGTAAGAAGTAAAACTTGTGTTAGTTGTTAGTTTCAGGTTAAGTAACGAGAACAGCAAAGAGGTTTGTATAAAATATTGATATCTCCAAAGTCATCGATACGTTAAGAAACTTGATAGAGTACTCTTGCAATATTTAAATGGTTTAATAATTTCTTAACCGTTTTTCAATACTCGCAGCCAGAGTCGATGTTACTTGCAAATTGCTTCAGCGTCGGCCCATAATGAATATATTACAAGAACGGATGCTGAACTTTCCGAAGCACATTCAATTGATTCCTATGCGAATAAAAGCTGCATAAAGTGTCGCCAACATAGGGCAGAAAAATATCTAGCGGTCAGCTAATGTATTATGCATTATGGGCCGCTGTTAACAAGCGAAGCTTGACGAAAAAGACCACGAGAAGAGAAGCAAGGCAGAAGAGATACGAATTCTAGTCAAGAGTTTATCGTTCCCGTGGCGCCCCGAAAGCGCACCATAGATCGAGGCAATTATTTCGCAAGCCGGTATCATCGTTGCTCGAGTTGCATCATGCGGTTCGAACAGTAAACTCTTACCAAACTTCGTCTTTCTTTTTCGCTTTTAATATCTCCCCGCGACGATGACGATTTGCGGTTATCTTAGGAAATCACTCGTCTCTCCAATTTTGAGGTTATCTTCGCGACAATTGTGGAATTACCCGTCTCGCTGATATTTAAGTCGCCTTCGCGAAATCGGGGAATCACTCGTCCCTCCAATCTTGAGGTTATCTTCGCGACAATTGAAGACCCGTCCGTTTTTAGAATTCTGAGGTCGAGCTTTCTCTAATTTTAAGGCTGTACTCGCAAAATTGGGGAATCACCGGTTCCTCCAGTTTCGAAGTTATCGAAAATGTTCAGTTTCACGACTCGAACGCGACTTTCCCGAAAAAAATTTCCATCAGAGTGGATTCAAATGCGAGGAGGCTTATTAGTTGAAGAGGATACGCGAAATTCTTTCTGCGGAGCAACGCCAGTGTAGGTGGGCGCAATCTCCGTTTTTAATGGCGAACACTTTGAGAGCGGCTCGAGGCAAATAAAACGATTGATTCGCTTTTAGTCGCTTTAGTCTGGCTGCATCTTCCGCGCGATGCAAATGCACCGGTGCAGTAGCAACTCGCAAGATTGCACGGGACATTCCATCGAGGAATGGATGCGCCTTTGCTGGCTACTCGATAAATCTACGTTCCGCCGTGGAATTACGGTAATTACGCGGCGGAATTTTCGTAATGGGGGAGCCCAAGTCACTGGCTCATGGCAGACAATCTGCAAATAATTTCTCCGTTTGACGGATGAACTTTCGGTTCCTCAAACTGTTGTGTCATTTTCAGAGTTGCTACTGGAAGTAAGAAGCCGTTCCAAGTGAAATATACCGAGCAATTAGTGTCAGCAGCTAGACTTTAGTGGCCCGTCAAGCTTCCCCAGACTGGAGTACCTTATAGGTGTGCCGATACGTCATTGCCAAGCATCTAATTACTAATTATACTGCTTAATATGTCTGACAATAGAAGGATAGGCGGATAAACCTAGAAGGTACCATCATAAGGAGGATCTGGTGAAGAATTACTATCAGCACTCAGAGTGCAGATTTCATTAATGTTACTGCTGGAGATGAAATATACTGAGTAATTGTTGTCAGTAGCTTGAACTTAAATCCCTGTAAATCTTTCACATCCGAGTAGGTACTCCTATAAGGTATAGGTGTAGCGATAAGTCATTGTCGAGCATCCAATTACCTCAAAGGACAACGTCAGAGAAAGGATTAGACTATCATCTACAATTTTCTGTTCGCAAGTACCGCCTAAATTAAGATCTGTATGACCTATAGGTTCGATACAAGAGAAGGCTAGAACAAAGTAGGAGGAAAAATGACGTGACTCGGCTAGTTTCTGTGGAAACAAAAGATTGCAGGGGCATCCAGGGAAACCAAAGTCCTCGAAAACACGTTCCGGCAGAGATCTGGGAGAACAAGAGGCAGACGGAGAAAGAGGGCAAAGGTCCGGACCGCAAGCAGCCGCGATAACGACGAGCAAAGAGAGAAACGGTGTCCAATCCGCGCCCCTGGTGGATCCCTCTCGATCTGGCAATAAATAAAACGCAGACAAACGCAGCCGGCGGTCGTACGTGGAAATCGCGATCATACGGGAGAAGCTGTTGGACCCGCGGCGGTCGCCATTATGCGCGGCTTCGCACAAAGGGGAAATAATTAGCGCTGCTCGACTGATAAGCCGGCCAATCTAGGCGTTTGTCATTAGCCTATCAAAGCCGAATGCCTCTCTGTCTGCGCGCGCGCTATCTCCTTTCTCCTGGACCTTCGGCCTCGACACGCCTCCGGCGCCGTGGAAAATATGTGCGAACGCCGATCGTAGCAATTAGTATTTCTCTGGAGCCTAATCGCTGCCCGCTCGACCGCGACAAATGTGCGTCTTTGAATTCTGATGATGGGCGGTAGAAATGGATATCGAGGAGGATTGACAATCTTCTGGGGGGAGGGGGAACAGAAATTTTTCTGACGGAGATCGAGTACCCTTTAAACCCTTCATCACAGAATTTTGATAAAATAGATGGTGATTCCATGGTGGAGCCTGATGACAGGTACTGAAAGGAGGTAGAAGGGTCTAGGATTGACATATCAGATAAGTTCAGCTTGGTGTTTTGGAAGAATGACAACTCTTCTGAGAGAGGTAGAGCATAGATTCTAATGGCAGGTGATCAGGTGTTGGAAGATTAATTGAGATGTCCAGAAAGTGTACTTGTATATCCTTTCTGACAATCAGTCTGGAGAGGGGAGATGACCTACGCTCGACAGTTACGTAATTGAACTGTTGCGTAATTTGCTCATCTCTAGTATGATCAGAATATGGGGATTTACAAGGATGAATCGTGTGCATAGGCACTTAAATGGCCCAGCAAGGATTCTACAAGCTACTCCGCTTCGTAACCCAATCGCAAACAACCAAAAATGGGCAATCAAAACGAACTCACATTCGCCAGAGCCTTCCTAACCTCAAAGCCATTCAAACCTTCGAAACACGGCCATAACTTCGCGATACCGTTCGTTAATCAGATGATGTAAAGTCAGGCATATGGAACTCGAAGAAGTCGGCGGAAATCGGGAGAGGCTGGCACCGAAACGACTCCGGCAACGTACCTACCTACGTATCGTGCCGCGTGAATTGACCGGCCAGATAACCGGGTTGGGATCACGGGGGAGGGGAGGGTGATGGCGAGGAGAGGGAGGGGAGTCGAGGAAAGTGAGAGAATATCCTGGCCGACACAGAAGCCGACGCTGCTAATGACTCTGTCCGCGGTAATCTCCGGGTGTTATCTGTCCTGGCTACCTGGGGCCCACCTACTTCGAATCACGAAGCTGCACACGCTTCTACCTCGTTTCCCGGCGATCGGCCGGCGTTCCGACGCGCGTCTCTTCAACCGAGTCGCCTGAGAATGGAACCGTGGAGGATGAAATGAGCACGGGAGATACCGAACCAACGACTCGGGATTGGGGCTTTCAAGTTTGTCGGTCAGCCTCACGGATTCCGTTCCTTTTGCTTTCCACGGCAACAGCGGCGGAATTCTTTGGACTACCGCTGCCGACTGCCCGTCGAATTTTTCTGTACTCGATGTTCGAATACTTCGTGTATCGTACTCGCGGTACTCCCTAACCTACAAATAAACATTATGTAAAAAGCAAAGTCTAAACTCGCATCGATTTCCTTGGTATACATTCCCAAAGAAGACTTTATACCAGAGGAATTTGACCGCCCAATTCCGTTGGAACCGGAGCGCCGGGCCCCGAACCGATGAGCACCGTGAAAAGCGCGGAAAATTCAAATGCACAAAGTTCGAGGTTCTTTCGCGCGATCGAATCCTCGGCGAGTCAAGTTCACGGTAGCTAAGAAAGGACCGCGAGAAACGGCGGTACGAAACGCGGAACAGCCCTTATTAAAGCGAAACCGACGAAAGAAGCCGGCAGCTCGCGAGAAAAAACGAAAGGGAGAACGAAACGTAAAAAGAGGGAAAGAAGGAAGCACTCCGCTGGTTTCAGAGCCTGTGTGCACCGCAAACTAACCGCGCACAGTTGCCTTATGTACGGAGTCTAAGTAATCCTCGAACCATCAGCTAACTTCTTAACCCTCAAAGTGAAAAGGGCCGCCTCGAGGTGGCGGCCTGCTGGTGGGAAGAGGAGCGGAGGAGGGAGGGGGCAGAGGTGGGAGAGGGCTCTTCTTTGTCTCCCGTTTGTTCGCCGGCTGGCTTCTTTCGCCGCGCGAGTTTCCGCGCGGAAAAGGAGTCGTCGATGACGTCGACCTGGAGCCCAGCAAACCCCTTCGCGTCCGAGAGACTTGTTTGCCCTTCTGTACGATCAGTTGGCCAAACAACTCGGTTAGAACGAACCTCGAGACGCGATGTGCGCGTGCACGGTGGAATTCCGAGCACCATGGAATTCCTTTAAGCCTGGTTTCGTCGACTTGGACGGCGGACGTCTCTGGACCGATGCTTCGGGGGATTATTCTTTGAATATTTCTGTATTCGAGTATTCCAGCACTCCGGTCGTTTGAGTATTCGGAGAATATGATTCGAATACTTTACCATTTGATCGGTAGTCAAGTATTTGAGTACCCGATTACTGACTAGTCTAGACTAGAGTATTCCAATTGAGTATTCCAAGTAATCGAATATTTTAAATCCAATTCTGTTCCGAACGTCTGGATGCAACAAACCAC